CTGCAATTGTACTTTCAACCAAGTCAAACAAACGAAGATGCACCCCTGTATAACCAGCACACAACAATATAACCATTTGCACAAACCCTACACAAATGACAACAGCATTAATCTACTATCCACGATTGCGAAAAGTCAACTGACAGATAGACCTCTTGAATGCTGCTATTGATGCAAATACAAGTGAATACCTTCCCGTTTTATATGCGATGATGAGGTGTGGTTTTGCTGTGCTTTGGGTTAATTAGCTGTCATATTACACGGTCTGTCACGCAGCTATTCTCTCTATGGCTACTACAAGTCTGCCAACCGTTCGTTCAACGCCACACTTGACAGGTAATGGACAGGCCTCTAATAGTAAACACGACGTACCACCATTCACAAAGTTTTCCAGTGGTTCCACAGCAAAGAGGTCAAATTCAAGGTGAGGACAAATCTTCGGCCGCCCACTTTCACCCAAACCACGAGGCCTCGTCATTTTCATGTAAATTCTGGCGAGACTGGGGAAGACGTCGTTCCAGAATGTGCAGCCCTTATCTCGAAGACGGTGTTTCATTGTCTGTTGGTTCAAGTCGATTTCCATGTACTTCTGAGTGGTCCCATCAAACTCTGGCCAGGACGGACCAAATTCAGTACCATCAGAATTGAGTGCTGCATTTCTGCATAAGTCAATAAAACAAATGCCATCAAATTAACATGTCGGTTGATGGCATCAAGAACGTTCCTTCAATCACTCGCAAAACAAGCATAACTGCAGCAAATAAACCAGATTATTAGTAGAAGTCTACGTGCTGTAATAACAAACGCACTCTGCACCTACCCAGATCGCGCAAAGTTTGCCCAGTATCGCATCATTTTCGCGCTCAGTTCCTTTTCTTCTGCTGTAAACCTGTAGAAGTTCTTCTGGAATTCACTCGAAAATGGCATGCCAAATACGTACTCGATTTCGTAACCATGCATCGCACCCACCCACGCCGGAAACTGACTGCCCACAGTCTTGTGCATGAAGTTGTAATACTGCACCTTCGCACCCGCAATGGCTGCAAGCAGTTTGGCAAACAGTTGAGTGCCACAAACAAAGTCCATTTCTCCACTCAAATTGTCGAGTCGGTTGAGGAAGTCCATCTCGCTGCTTATTGCATCGGGTGGCACAACGGTGTCATAGCCCGTGATTTGTCTAACGAAAGGGCTATTTAGCCCGTATTGAGCTGTGGTGATTGCTGATAGTTGTGGGACTAGATGACCCACACTCATGAAC